GTCCCCCAGACACTCTCGTTAAAAACATAAAAGACCTCTATAGACGTTTTTGGCAGCCAATGAGTTAATATCCGCATATGTCGCCGATGTTTACGTTTATAGCGTGTAAAGCGCGTCCCGTGATTAAGTAAACAGTGAAGTGAGAATTTTTCCTGCCGTATAAAACGGAGATGAGGCTGCGAACTTGATAATCTGTTTATATTACGGTGTAGTATATTCATTTAGTAGTGTTTAGTTAGCCATTGTTCACGTGTGTTAGCATTGATTAGCCATGTTTGCTATTAATGTTGTGGTTACCATGCATATGTTTCTAATAGGCACTGTTATATTCTGTTTACCTATAGAAACCACAACTTCACAACCTTTATAACGTCAATGTAACAACTCAAGATCAAACTGAAGTTGTTGTGATGTGGCGCTATATAAATGAAATTGAATTGAATTGAATTAATTTTAATTTTGTAATGGCATTGTCTAAACGTGTGTTTGGACTGATTTTGTATTGTGTGATTTTGTGTTGTTTGGTCTTCCTGCCTCAGGACCACAGATGTAAACTAGCAACTATGCTATAATCTGGCTCATTTACAATCTGTATGAGATTGTTCATTAATGTGCACTGTCCTGATTAAATAGAATAAAAAAAATTTAAAAACTGCAATAAATACTCTGGACCTGTTCATTTGAATCAGGTACCCCACGTTGGCTCCTACAGATTTCAAACTGGGATCAGTCAAAACACTCATTCTTCTCCTTCCCTACCTGTTGACGAAGTCCCGGTCCACCAGGCCGTTCTGCATGTAGATCTCCTGCAGGGCGGCGTGGAACTTGGCCCCGGACACCTGACCCGTTGCCGAGGGGCCCAAACAGGCCTGGATCAGCTCCTCAGGAGACGGGCCCTGAGGGGCAAAAGATTTGGGGCGTTTTGATGTGTGGGTCTGTTACGCCTGTTAGATTTATTTATTTATTTATTTATTTATTTATTTATTTAATCAGGACAGTGCACATTAATGAACAATCTCATACAGATTGTAAATGAGCCAGGTCTTCCTGCCTCAGGACCACAGACGTAAACTAGCAACTATGCTATAATCTGGCTCATTTACAATCTGTATG